CACACAGACACACACACACACACACACACTGTAATGATGGCGTTGTCAGGACCTGCTGTGTCTCTGAAATACCTGCAAATCTAGAATGACTGCCCATCCACATTCTCATTTGCTCTGGATTTCTCTGTTTCTGTACAGCACACTAGTTAGAAACTGTACAAGTCTTGTAAGGGTTTTGCAGTGGACTGATTGAGAAATCACACACACACACACACACTGGAGACAGACGCGGCCTGTGTTCTCACACCTGTGCTGACGTCTTTATTAACATCAGGACAAGTTTAATTAATAACAGAGGTTGGCCGTGTGTGTTTGGGAAACGGGGGTGGAGTCAACCGTCTCCAGGATATACAGATTACAGAGTCCTGATTGGTCATCACACACTCGCTTCTCCATGACAACGATTCTGTTGACAGGAATCAAACATACCATAATGATTCATAAAAATGTCTCTAAATTATAAATTATAAATATATATATACACACACACACTACCAGTCGAATGTTTTTGAACAGTAAGATTTTTTGTTTTTTGTTTTTTAAAGAAGTGTCTTCTGCTCACCAAGCCTGCATTTATTTGATCCAAAGTACAGCAAAAACTATAACATTTTGAAATATTTTTACAATTTAAAACAGCTGTTTTCTATGTGAATATCTGTTAAACTGTAATCATTCTAATATGCTGATTTGCTGCTCAAGAAACATGTATTATTATTATTATTATTATGTTGAAAACAGCAGAGTATAATTTTTTCATGTTTCTTTGATGGATAGAAAGTTCGGAAGAACAGCATTTATCTAAAATAAAAATCTTTTGTAACATTATAAATGTCTTTGCCATCACTTTTGATCAATTTAAAGCATCCTTGCTACATAAAAATATAAATTTTTATAATTTCTTTCCTAAAAAAAATTATACTGACTCCAAGCTTTTGAATGGTACAGTGTATAATGTTACAAAAGCTTTTTATTTCAGATAAATGCTTATTTTTAGATCTGTCTATTCATCAAAGGATCCTGAAAAAAGTACTCAACTGTTTTAGAGAATTCTTTAAAAAACATTAAAAATCCTACTGTTCAAAAACTTTTGACTGGTAGTGTGTGTATACAGTCAAACCGAAATGTATTCAGACAGCTTTAACATTTCTCACATCATATCACAGTTTATTGGCTAGTGTGTACCTGTCGGTTCCCAGCAGCCGGAATGTCTTCTTGTGGTCAGTGATCTCCTGCAGGATCTCTGATGACCCCTGACCTCTCCTCTGCCAGCCGTGTTTCCAGACGGCGATCAGCGTCTCGTCGTGATACACTGAGAAAAGAGTTTGTGTGTTGTGATGGAGTTCTTGCTCATTAAAAACACACTCACACACACTCACCCACGGCGTCGATGTCTAACTTAAAGCTGACGTCCATCAGGTGTCCGTGACATTTAGCCGATCCGTTCAGAGCGACCGTATGAACAGAGTCTGATGACCGACAGAAAAACATCATCATCATCACAGCACCATGACATCATCTGGAGTGTGTGTGTGTGTGTGTGTGTGTGTGTGGAATGTTCCATTGACACATGTTATGTAAGAAACTTTCTGTGGCCATTAATGGAATGTTCTGGGTTGTTTACATCAGCTCTGCGTCACATTCATTACCACAGACAATACTTTCAACTTTATAACAACAAGTGTGAAATGTGTTTATATGTGCATTCAGTCTGCAACAAAACAGCACCAGAAATACATATATACAGTATATAACTTTCTTTAAATACATATTTTATACTGTATAATAATGAGTCAAGAATGAGAGATTATATACACACAAACAGTATATGGTAACACTTTAACTTTGTTACACATTACATGTACTTACTATTATAATAACAATAAATTATGCACAATTACATGCAAATAACCCAAACCCAAAAGTAATTAAGCCAAACCCTAATCCTAACCATATAGCAAGTACATGTAGTTAAATAAAATGACTCAATACTTAAATGTATAACTACACTGTAACAATGACACCTTAAAATAAAGTGTAACCCAGTATGTTATATATATATGTATATATATAAAACTCTATAATATATAAAATATAAAATTATATATATATAATTTTTTTTTATTCCAGACACAGTCACATGATACTCACTGTCAATCAAAACCAGCAGTGTGTCACCGTCCAGCTGATTCAACTGAACTCTGTCAGCGCAGCGGTTCTCTGAGAAACACACACACACACACACACACGGAGAGACAGAGATGCATGAGACATTCTGCAGGACTGTGTGTGTGTGTGTGTGTGTGTGTGTGTGTGTGTGTGTGTGTGTGTGTGTGTGTGTGTGTGTGTGTGTGTGTGTGTGTGTGTGTGTGTGTGTGTGTGTGTGTGTGTGTGTGTGTGTGTGTGTGTGTGTGTGTGTGTGTGTGAACAGTTTAACAGATATTCACATAGAAAACAGCTGTTTTAAACTGTAATAATATTTCAGTATTTTTACTGAAATTTAGATCAAATAAATGCAACCCTGGTCAGCAGAAGAGACTTCTTTCAAAAACATTAAACGGTAATGTACATTAAACAAAAGGTGTTCACACAAACATTTTAATGCACTATTGTTGATTATCATTCACAGATGACAGAAAACAAGACACGCTGATTATTGCAATGCACTGTGAGACTGAAGTGAGAAAAATATTTATAACAGAAGTGAGACGTGCTGATATTTGTGTGTGTGGATGGTGGGCGAGTGTGTGATGTGAAAGGTCAGGGATGAAGAGCAGCGAGGCGCTGGATATTTGCACTGACTGTGTTGGCTCACCTTGATCAGCATGAACTTGTGCATGGGCTCGTACCACTGCAGCAGAACCACGCTGGACTCCAGCGCACAGCACAGAAACACACAGCCGTTCTGAGCGTTATGAGCTGCACACACACAACAGCCAAGAGTCATTCATTAAACAAACAGTGTTGTTCTCTCTGTAAAACACACAAATCTAAGGAAGTATCTTGATTTCCTTTTTCAAACACAAACAATCAGAAAGCCACACTAATTCATCAGGAACTCCTCACATGTGCTTCATTGAACAATAAACACACATCTACACAACTACACATGCTTGATGTGTTTCTTTTCTTTCCTACTGTGTAATACTCTATTCACAACCACAAATGCTTTCAGTAAAAAAGTCTGCTTTCAATCTTGCTTTCGTGTTTACCGTGGATTTTTCACCATCTCTCTGACAATTACTTTCAATCTTGTGCAGAAATGTTCACAGGAGCTCATGAAAGACGAGCTTCAGGTTTTGAATAACTGTGTGTGTGTGATATATCCAAAAATATAATATTATGGCAAAGGTGTTTGCAAA